TCTTCATCTTCATCTTCATCTTCATCTTCATCTTCATCTTCATCTTCATCTTCATCTTCATCTTCATCTTCATCTTCATCGGCAGACTCTTCATGCAGGAGGTGGCAGTCAGTCTGCCAGGGAAAGACTTCTTCGGCCCTTGGCACCCCATGCTTGCTTTGTATCAGGCTATCAGCGCAGCAGATGATTGAGACAAGGAAGCTACCTCTCCTTTTCCAGACACCCGCCTGTGATTGGTGAACTGGTAAATCCCTCCCAAATCTGTGCACTGTACACGGCGACCACCCTTGTGGCTATCATCGATAACATCCTGGGTCGAACAAGCTCATCTAGTGCCATGTCCTCTCACCCGAAAATAGAGCGAAAGAGGCTCGAGGTTCGGCGGCAACTGTCCCCGGACATCGAACATGGCTCTTGACAGAGACACGAGATCAACATGTGTTGATCTCTCACTCTGACATCGGCGGGTTTTCCAGCGAGCACGGCTCGGTTGATTCACATTATGAGCCATAAGCTCGGGCTAGAGTGTCGAAGGCCAGTGGTGTTGCTGTTTTCATTTCGGCATCTCCGTCTCCAAAACATCCCGTTCAGTTGGAACCGCTCTGTCTTCCTAGACTAGATGGCTTTCTTTACCCCTTTGGAGTGCTGGATGAGAACGGCTTGTCCGAATGACGAGAAGCAAAACACACTCTCCACCGTGTGAAATACGCCAAGACGCTAGTAATTATGGCTATAAAAGCAGCCTCCCCGACCAGATAGATTGAGAATAGTCCAATACACTTTTACACTTCATTTCACAACCGTGTCTCTCGGTGGCCCAGGGTGAACCGGTTAAACCTTTTCATTCTCTTTGATACAGGGACGTTGAGAGAATCTGACGGTCGTCGAACAGTCGGGCGAGGCCTCGTACAGATTAGCGCAATGGATCTTTTGTTATTGTCTTTTCCAGCCATGACTAACCAGCTAGCAGGCTAAAAAGGACGAATGTAAGTGAATCAGGTTGGGAGGGCTGTTGGATAGGGAGTTACGAGGCCCACCCCCAGACCCACGAGCAGAGGAGTACGGAGTATACCTGAAGAGAATTGGCCGTTGCAACATATATCGGCTCTGACTGACCGTTTGGCTAGGGCGGCCCTTTACAAGCCATCATCAAGCGCCAAGAGGGCGCGAATAGCCTCCTTGAATACGAGCAGAGGCATCCAGGCTTGGCTCGAAACAGGTATTAGTTTCCCCCCGACATGAACGAGCGCAACAACAGTCTCACAAGGCAGGGCAGGCGCCTCGTCTAGGTGTCGCCGACCAGCGCGATGATGTGTAAGTTTAGCCTTGTGTCTGACTAAGTTCGGCCATAACTCGCTGAACGGCTCCATTGGGGTGTTGATATATTGTTAGGTGGTGTTAACTGGTGTTAGGTGAAGCACTCGCAACCACACATCGGTGTTCTTGCGGGTTACCGCGCTCACCAGCTGAGACTCGTATCGACGGATGCGTGAATAGCCCGATACGGCTGGCCGGGAGGATGCTTTCAGTTTAGTAGGTTCTCCCCTACACTCGGTGCCTACCTCTGCTCCCCCCCTGATTACGTTACTACCTTTCTCTCGGTAAAGGCACGGTTGCTGCAAGGTCTAGTTAGTGGATCAAGGAGAACTGCCGGCTTAGCTGGGAGCTTGGCCACTACGCGAAGAGAGGCGAGAGGCTCCAGACCCTCCACCCCCTGTCTCTGAACGGTCATCATATTCTTACACTCCGTATATCGATCTGACAGAGCAATTTATGGAGGTACGGACCTGCCTCCTACCTACCCCCTTCCTCCCCATCCCCCAAACCTCCATTGGGGATCCATTGCGGCTCTAGGGCTTAGTGTCCTCGGTCTAAACCATTCCTGGACCAAGACTGTCGCCCTCTTAAGCCTTGTCCAGGCGGCGAGAGCAGCTCTCATCATGGACATCTCCTCTCCGAGTATTATCGGGAAGTTGGAAACCGGGATTCATTCATGGACCACCTCAAGGATGTTGTCGCACGCTATGTCCCATGGGGAAGAAACAGCTGCCCGAACCAATCACGTATGCATCATCCCCTTGCCCGACTTAGTAAGTCATCGCCGATCCCACAACGTGCCTCTCCGCTTGTATATCTCTTGTACCCCATACTGCGTGGTCACTCCTTCAGACGCAGGTCCAGGACACTCTAGTCCTACAGACCGCTGCTCAAACTGCTCAAGACTACGTGTCTATAACACACACAGGACTTCCTCAAGAGTCTTTCATTCGGGACCGGGTCTCATAACCCCCTTCTTTGACCCGCTTCGTTGGATCTATCATTGCATAGTCTTGGCATCGAAGGGCGTTGTGCTGACGCTCTGCGGTTCAACCCTGTAAGTCTTGAGCCTACAACCCTGTTTGACCGAAGACCATGGAGGTATCCGTGCTTAGCTAACGGAACTTTGACCTTTTGAAGAGAGACATAGGTTCGTCGGGTCCGAAGCCTGGGCTTTGCCCAATGAAGCCTCGTCGGTGAACACCATCGCAGACAGGGGGCCAATTCTCGTCAAGGTGCATCTCTATTACTCTGGATCTCTTCAAAACTCTGCCATCCTCCCGATCAATGGTCAGAGGATCAAGGATATCTTCTTGATCCTCGCCACAATCGCAACGTTTACGAAGTCATCAATTTGCCTAATTGGCGCCACACAAGAAGCTCAAGCTTTTATACTGCCCACTGCACAACCTCGCCCATGGCTGTGATTGATCAGGCTCCTGCGCAATTCGAGTTCGCTACCTTCAACGGCATCAAAGTCGGCGCTCAGCGTACCGCATCGACCAAGGGCCCCTTTTTATTCATTATCAAAACACCTACCTCCGGCACGTTGTCGCACTCAACCACCAGAAGTGCGGCAGCCAGCATCAATAGCCATGCTCAACGGTAGGCTCAGGAGGTGGCATCTTCCAAAACGCTCGAGGAGGCTGTCGCTCAGCGTCAAGCAGACGCTCTCTCTTTTGAGAAGTGCTTGACGAGGTGCCGTGTTTCTCGACTGCTCGATGACCCAAGCAGACCATCAAAAGGAAAACGTTCATTGAAGGCGAAGCAAGCTAGTCACAGCACGACAAAACGTCCGAGAATATCAAAGCTGCAACCCTCTCAAAGTCATTGTACGACAAATGATAAGGACTCATCGACGAGCCCAGAACCCGACTCTCGGCGGCAGCAAAGTTCCAGCGAGGACGGGGATTTCGAGGATGAACCGCTTCAACAGCTACGGGTCCCGTCTCCCGGTCCCTCAAAGTGCTCAGTCGTCGATCCTTTCGATTCCACATCTACCTCGATAGAAAGCCATGTGCTACCCATCCTCCAATACTATCTCTCCTTTGCCCTGCTCTCCACACCTCAGGGCGATGACGGCCAAAAGCCGCCGGACTCCGCCTTTGTCCAACACATCTCCAGCATCGACGCCATCGTCCAAGGCTGCATGCAGAAAAGTGTCCACATGTACGCACTGTTGGCTGCGACATCCAGCCGCATGAGACGAGTCTCCGGCGTCTCCTTTCGCCCCGGAAATAGTCCCGAAATCTATCTCCACAAGGCACTCCAATGTCTGCGGATGTTGCTCGATGACCAGTCGGCGGCCGAGGACCGTCAGATCATCCTCGACATCTATTATCTAAGCGTGTGCGGGTGGTATATGGAGAGCTACGGCGAGTCCATGACTCACTTTAATGTTCTGAAACACTTTTGGAAGACGCTGACTCCTAGGGAATCTACGCTGGATCAGTATATTTACGAGATGCTCAATTACAATGCCATTTTCCTGGACTGCGACGCTGCATATACACCGGAGTCCGTGCTGCCCGGCCTTCTCCATCCTTCTACGGCAAGTGGGAGCAGCTACCACTCCTCAACCTTGCAGCCCGAGCGCCACTATTCATATAGCCAATGTTCCGCCTTCCGATTAGCACTCGAACACACGACGTACAGTCCCGACTTGAAAAAGGTCGTACAAGAACTCCCAATTCTTCTACGGCTCTACAACTACCTCCACCAAAAACCCGACTTTATCGGTCCCGAGACAGACTGGGTGCGCAGCAAGAGCAAAGCCCTTGTCCTCCGGTTGCTGGAACTGCCCAGCTACGGCGGCGAACTGTACTGCCGTCTCGCATTGGTGTTGTTGCTCCACCACATCTCCCAATCGACTGCGACAAAGTCTTCGACCATGTCCGACTCCACCTGCTCCTCTCCAGAGCCCGACAACCCTAAGCCCAAACCAAAACACAAATCCACTTCAATCGACCCCGTCGCAATCACCCTCCGACTCAAACGCCAACTCCAGTACGAAATCCACCTTCCCTCTAACGAGATCTCCGCCGCCGTCACCTCCATTATCAAAAACGGTACTGCTTCTGTCCCCGCCCCGGCCCCGAGTCCCACCTCCTCGACACAACAATCACCACCCTCACCCCCCACCAAAGCGCAAGTGATCTGGACCGGCAAATCCGACCCCTTCCTCCTCTGGATTCTGACCACGGGCCTCTTCTCCGCGCGCATCACGCAGCAAACCCCCGAATATCAGTGGTTCTGGGCCCGCGCGATGGCGCTGATCCGCATCTTGGGGGTCAAGAGCATGAAGCAGTTGGAGGAGCTGGTCCGGTCCTTCGTCTGGGTGGAGGGGATGCTCGACGACGACGGCCTCGAGGATATCTTGCCGTCTGGGGGCGCTTGATGAGGATTGGAACGCTTCTGTTCCGGGATCTTGACCGGGTGTGGATGCAGATGCGGTTTAAGGCAACGTGTGTCTAGCTTTCGTTAATGGACTGGACTGAACTGGACAGTAAGTAGTTGATGGGTTGGTACCTAGTACCTAGTACTTAGTATTCCAGGCTAATGACATCAAAAGGAACTGAACGACGCCGCGTGAGCCGTGATTCTTTCTTCAAGATACTAAGAAAGCAGGACAATGAGCAAGGCCTGCAGGCTTTGATATCTATGATGTCGGAAATAGCTAGTTACAGAACGTGTCGCAATTGATGGGAGTCGAAACGCTGCCTCCGGTCTTATAACTCTAGTTAAATTTGGCGCGAAGATTGCCCTGCAACCTGCGTTGAAACAGAGACCTCTGTGTTGATAAGACTGCTGTTCAATTTTGATACTTCCTTGGTAACCGGTAACCGTACATAACCTGCCCACATCGGGCTGAAGCACGACCTATGTGAAACTAGACCCGACGACGTAAATAATTAGACTTCCTTTCTTATAATATTAGAAGAAGGGGTCGTTAGGCTGATGGTTACCGGCCCTCGGGCCCGCACCGCAGTCTACACCGTTTGGCCCTCCAGACAGGTCTCAAGTAACCGGGGTCCGAGGGAGCCTCTCTATGTTGCCCCTTTTCCCTCAACGCATGACGATCCATGTATTCAGGCTCTCCTGTCCCCTTGACACCGTTGTCCCTTATCTGGTCCTTGCTCTCCAAGTGAGAACGATTTCCCCATCTTTTCTCGTCCAGGTATATCATATCATAACATCCCGTGCGTGAAGCAAGCTCAAACATTATTGACTCTTTACACATCCCCTTTTATTCACAGTATCCGTCCCCCCAAGGCCGTACTACCATCATGTCTGAAAAGGTAGATGCCTACCCAGTCATCCAGGAGGAACGATCCTCCGGCCATGAACTTTGCACCATGGACACCAACAACACCGTCTCGACAGGCTTTGAAGAAACAGAAGACGAGAATTTCAAATATGGCTTTACAAGGAGCGTCGCTTTCGTGGTGCGTATTTGCCTTGCTCGCACACTGCTCGTCATGTAAATCACTCCAGCTGATTCATGCGCACTAGGGTCTCGCCCTGGGGTTTTACTCTGACAACATGGTAGCATCGTCTATCTCTTCTGTTCTAACACACATCAATGCCGAACTCGGTAAGTGCTCCATGTTAGGGGATCAAATGGTCGAGAAGCTCGACCTTACCTGTGGTACCAGGACCATCTACAGCTTATGCCTGGACCATCACCGCAATCTACACGGTAGTCTCGATTACCGCTCCCTTCGTTGGACGTCTTGGCGATATCTTTGGAAGGCGAAGCATTCTCATCCTCGGCAACGTGCTAGGTGTCCTAGGCTGCATTGTCTCTGCCACTGCGAAGTCGATCAGCACCCTCATAGTCGGAGCTGTCATCCTTGGACTTGCTTCTTCCATGGATCTGCTTGGATGGGCTGCCGTGGGTGAGACCGTGCCCAAAAAGTACCGTCCTGTGGCAGTCGGCATGTACGAAGTTTCCATCACCCCATCTGCAATCTTTGGTACACTCATAGGTAATGTAGTCTTTACGTGGAGATGGTTTGCGCATTTTGCTAACTAGCTATAGGGCTTACACTGCAAGATCATACTGCATTGGGATGGCGCAACATCTACTGGATATGCCTTGGTCTCCATGGCCTGGCGATTCCCCTCCTAGCTTTCTTCTATCACCCGGTCAATCAATACATTGCGGAAACCGGCAAGTCCAAACGGGATCAGATGAAAAGCCTCGATTACATTGGTACTGCACTGTTCGCCATCGGCCTATGCCTCTTCTTGATCGGCTTGTCATTTGGCGGCACAAAATATCCATGGTATGTTCGAGAATTAAGAACAGCAATGGCCTGCACATGCTTATATATTCACAGGAAGTCGGCAGGAACCATTGGGCCTCTTATTATTGGCATCGTATTTCTCGTCTTTACTGGTCTGTACGAAAAATATACACACAGTCCATACAACATCTTCCCACACTCGGTGATGAAGAACTACCGTGGGTTCAGTATCGTTACTGGAGTCGGATTCCTCCTCGGTATGCTATACTACTCGACTTTGATCTTGTGGCCAATTCAGATTGCGACTTTTTACTCCAGAAATTCAATCACCATTGGCGTCTACGGCATGTCTTGGGGCTGGGGCAGCATTATAGGTGCCATGGTCATGGGATTTATCATAGAAAGGGTCAACCAAGCCAGGTTCCTCTTGACCGCTGTCGTTCTTCTGATGACAGTTTGCATTGGCACTCAAGCTATTGTCGGTATGTTGCATCCTGGATGTTCATGTCGTCCTTTTTTTGCATATATTGATCTTCTCACAGGCATTCACACCAACGTGGCCTCTTGCATACTTGTGGCTCTCACCGGTATGATGCTCGCCTGCGCCGTCGTGACTACGAACTCGATCATCCAACTCTCCGTACCTCACCAGTATATTGGTGTAGCCATGGGAATCGTAACGACATCTCGCTATGTTGGCGGCTCCGTCGGCTCAACCATCTACCAGGTGATCCTCAGCAACCAGCTCTCAGCCAATCTGGGAAAGAACGTGGCCACGGCTCTAGCAAAGGCTGGAGTTCCATTCGCCGACATTCCAGCAATAGCTGGAGCCATTGCTCTTGGAGAGACAAACAGTCCCGCATTAGCTGGTGCAAGCCCTGCAGCCCTCGGTGCTGGAGTTCTCGCGCTCAAATTGACGTACGTCCATGCCTTCAAGATTATCTATCTCACGTCGATCGCATTTGGGGTTCTCGGAATCACCTGTGCTGCGTTCTCGAGGAACATTGGTGAGTTTCTGACCAACAAGCTTGACGTTAAAACGGACACATCAATTCATCTTGGACTTCATGAGGTCCACCTGGGTGGGCACGTTCTCAATCAGGATGGTGAGGAGATCACTCGAACATCGAGGGTCACCAAGTGATGGTAGCAATATCGTCTCTAGGATAGCTATCATGGTGGTGGTGTATGTTCCATGTTTCTTTTCGGCTAAGGAGGCTTTCACTGGGACATGGGCTCCGCCAAATTCATAGTGGAAAAGAATGTAAAACTTTTTCATTCCGGAACTAACTATTTTATGTTGCGAGCTGGCCTAGCCTTATGGCCGCAGCTAGGGCACACTCTCCTAGGAAGATACATATTCAAACGTCGCTACGATTGAATACACCACCATGTAATTGGGAAGCCCGAGAGCCTAGATACGCATGTAACAGTCACGGAAAACCAATAGTCGGTACAATACTTTTACACATATATGACTTTTCAACCCTCTGCAGGGTCTATCTGCTTGCTTGTCTCTTCATGACTATGCTGGTCCAGTAACTGGGCCTCGTCTCCGGCGTGCTGTTGCTCGAAATGGGCTTCTCGCTTTCCCCCCTCGGCTTGCGTAACAACACGCTGGCCCAATGGGGTTAGTTAGACTGTTTGATGACACTCGCTGGGAAAAGGATGGAGGAGCGCTACCTTGTATCTCAATCGTTGCTTAATTAGTTAGAAGATTGATTAGCACTTAATCTTGCTTTATTGCAATTGTGTTGTTTATCCAAAAACAAGGAGACGCCCGTATGTTTTGCGATCCTGCAGGGGAATGGCCTGCGCATACCATATGATGAAAACACTTGTCAACATTCGGTGCTAGGACGAGTACATCCCTCAAATACATCTCTTTCATTGGGAAACTTCGAAAGCAAGCCCAGTCACTCTGTCTCTCCAGGGTGCTTTATATCCCGCCACCGTCAGGAGCACAAAAATTCCAAGGGAGATGTTATGAACGTCTCGATGACTGTAGGCCGCGGTAGATCTAGCAAAACTCGCCACCATCGCAGCGATAGAGTTCACCCGTACAGAAACTGCTCTCGGGGCCCAGAAGCCATATTATGAGATGACCAATTTCTTCAGGTTCCCCATATCGCTTCAGTGCCGAAGTTGCAGGTGGGGGCGTGTCTCCGACAACGTTCTTCATAAGAGGTGTCTTTGTTCCCCCAGGGGCGACCGTATTGACTCTGATCCCACGGCCTCCATAGTCTCTAGCTGCACACTTGGTGAGTCCAATGACGGCGTGCTTGGAGGTCACATAGGCGCTACAGCCCGGATCCCCCTTTGAGCCATGCGTTGACGAGATGTTGACTATGCTTCCTCCGTCTACCAAGTGATTCAGCTCGGCACGCAGACAATTCATCGTTCCTGATCGGCGTTCAGCTTGGACATGATGGGAACTACTTGGGGCTCCCCTACCAGTTACATTGACACCCATGACCAGATTCCAATCGTTGTCGTCTATCTCGGCCACTGGCGCTTTGAACAATTGTTTCCCCACGGTCCCAGCAATGTTGGCGGCGCCATCAAGTCGTCCAAATTTCCCTACCGTGGTGTTGATCCAATTGTCGACGCTATCCCGTTTCCTAACGTCAACCACCTCGACATGCACCGGCCAGCCTTTCCCTTTGAACTCCTTCTCCACTTCAGCAAGAGTTGCTGGGTTGCTGTCAGCGAGAGACACGATTGCACCTCTGCTGGCAAGTATCCTCGCCGTGGCCAATCCAATTCCTTGGCCACCGCCGGTGAGAGCAATGACTTTGCCTTGGAAAGATTTGTCTGACATTTTTGTTAAACAATGTCAACAACGTCAAAAAATGTCGGTGTGGGTCACAGAAGCTGTTCAGAGCATCTTCCAAAAGTTTAGTGTCAGGAAATCTTTCCAAATTTCCTTGCAATAAAAAGACATCAGCAAGGACAGCTCCGAGGACCTCGCGGCTACGGCTTGTGTCTTCGTTTGCACCTCGGGAGTTGAAGGACCCCTTCATTCGAGATTTCCCTGGAGGGCAAGCGCCATTCCAGGGAACACCCTCTACTTCTTGATTAGCTCAACTGTGTCCAGCAAAAGTTGGGAAAATTCACGAAGCTTCAACCGGACAGCTTTATTGATCATTGCTTGATTGATTAATTGATTGACGATATCTCGGAGGACAGGCCTTTTCTACCATGAAAAGAGCATCATCCTCATTGCAAAATCCTTCAGACACGCGATGGTCTTGATTCTCGTCGAGTCTGCACGGTTCCTCTCACGCTGTCCTATACGCCTTTTGTTGATGTTTCTCGGGGATTTGTATGCCGTCAAGAAAAGTTAATCCAGGTACAACATGAATAACCTCTCTCCCCTACCAGAGGCGTTGAATGACTGTAGATTTTGAGCTCCAAATTCGATGTCTCTTGGGACTTGATGAATAAGAGAGGCCCCGAGAGTGTTTCCCTGGCCATTCCGACGTCGACAGGTACACTGAGAGACGGTGGCTTGATTACCTACCAATTCGGCTTCTGTTATGATAATCCTTCTCCTATCTTGCAATGAATGAAATCCGCAGTCTGAGAAAGGGTATTATCCACCTGATCGTGTTGTATATACTCGACCAATTCTAACCACACTTTAAACCCTCCTGGCCTTGTTAATTCTAAATAGGTCGACGCCTCCGTCTATAGAAGTATTCATAGAGGTAGAGGGATCTTTAATATATAGGCCAGTTGGGGAACCAGTCGCGGTGATGCCATTACCAGTCTTTCTTCTTATTCTGTTCTCCAGTCCCCTAGATCCGGAAGACGGCGTCTTTCTGGCTTCCTGCTCTCCAACCCAGTACTCATGTGCCCACTTGTTTGCGGCTTCCGACTTTTGATGTGCTGTTGCATTGCTGCCGACTGTGGTGCGCATGTCCCATCTTGTGTCAACTGTCTATTGATTCGAGAGAGAGACAGTCTCATGCTGTCTGTCTATAAACGCTATTGTGTGATCATAGAGAGTGACACCTGCGCGCCCGACGTGGCATCTAGAGGTGCCACAGATAGGAGATGTTTGAGAAACTGTTGCTGTGAGAAGTTGAAATTCCAACGTATCACGATATAGAGTATATCGTACAACTCTTGGTCTTTGAAAGTGAGGCAGGCGATGATTGATTTACGAGCCATTTCGATCAATCACTGCTGACATCAAACAATAAATCCGGGGAATTGACCGTTGTAATATTAAGCCTGGATCGACTCTCTAGGGCCACCTATCATCCACTAAATATGCAAAGCGCGGCTGTCAGGAAACAACTAATGATCACTATTCACACCTAAATCTCTTCAAGCCATGGGACTGATCCTCGGGACGAATAATTAAACCATAAAAATCCCGCCATGAACCAAAGTCAACCTCGGGGGTGACAACATGACAACCGCAAATTGATAGCTGTCCCTCACCGAGGCCAATGGAATATAAAGGTATCTCCGGACCTCGGACAACAAAGAACCCCGTAAGCCTGCTATCAAATATAAGCGTTTTACTCTCCTATCTTGTTGACAGTAAACGAATATTGATTCTCTTTAGTTTACTAACGTTAATATGATCTCTTACATATCTGCCATTGTTGCGGGTCTGGTGAGAAGATATCAACTCCCAAACCTAAAGTCTCGCTAACCCCTTTCGAAAAGTTGACTCATCTGGGCGCCCAATATTATGAGCCTACAGCACTTCAAGCCGTATGCTGGGGAACTCTTGCCAATACAGTTCTTGGTCTTCGATTCTGGCTACTCTACACACAATCAATCGTACCTTTCCTCTTGCTTCTGAACGCCATCTACTTGATTACTCTCTAGTAAGAATCTTCTTTTTGTTCATATTGGCGTATCTGACGTTATAGTACTTCGATATTTATATATCGCACCTTCTTTCACAGGTTGCGGGCCTTTCCAGGTCCTTTCTGGGCTCGCGTTTCAAAACTCTGGACTTGCGAGATACATCTCCGTGGAGACTATCATCGAGAGACCGTCAGGCTTCATCAAAAGTATGGCGACATTGTACGAGTTGCGCCCAACGAGCTTGATATCAACGATGTAGAGGCCATCAAATTGATTTACGGAAGTGGCAGCAAACTATACAAAGGTCCCTGGTATGACGGTCCATCCGCTACTGGGGAAGCTCGAAGCATTCAGGGGACGAAAGACCATGGCAAGCATCGTTTGAGGCGAAAGACCTGGGCACAAGGGAATAGTGGAGCAGCAATGATCGAGTTTGAGCCTCTTATGGTGCAGCATCTCAATGTCTTCATCGAGCAGATAAGGGCTCGTAAGGAAGTCGACATTGCACACTGGTATAACTTTCTCAGTTTCGATATAATGGGAGATCTAACGTGAGTTATTTTTACACTTTTGATCAATACTAATGAGAATATAGCTTTGGTGTGCCATTCGACATGGTCAAGACGGGACAAACTCATCATTTCATGGACACCATTCATAAGTTCATGAAAGCTGTCTCTATTCTATCTGCAATCCCGTGGCTTAATTCACTTGCCAATGCGTTGCCTACCGACAGCGCTGTCAAGGATCTCGAAAAGTTCTCTCGAGACTGCTTCCAGAATAGAAAGGCAAAAGGTTCATCGCGCAAGGACCTCTTCTACTACCTTTTGGGAGAAGACCAGGATGGAACCAAACTCACCGAGCTCGAGCTCATCATGGATTCACGTACGGCTATTGTTGGAGGCTCAGACACGACATCTATTGCGCTTGGTTGCCTTATTTACTATTTGGTTGCACATCAGGACAAGTACAAGAGATTGCAAGCAGAAGTTCTGGCGCAGGGAGAGCAAATGGACAACAACTCACTAGGAAATCTTCCATATCTCGGTGCGGTCATCAATGAGGCTCTGCGACTGATGCCACCGGTTCCACAGGGGCTCCAACGAGTCGTACCGCCCGAGGGAATGCAGCTAGCCGGCAAATTTATCCCTGGAAACACACTCGTCAGTGTCTCTCCCTGGACCGTCCAGCGAGATCCCCGGAATTGGGGCCGGCCGGATGAGTTCATACCTGAGCGTTGGCTTGGTGAAGGGCCGGAGCCATGCATTAAAGACGCTTGGATCCCCTTTTCAATTGGGGCCTATGGATGTGTGGGCAAGCCACTCGCGATGATGGAGCTGCGCGTCATCACAGCCACAGTCGTCAAAAACTTTGACATATCCTTTGCCAAAGGGTTTGATGCTGCAGCATTTGAAGCCAGCGTGACCAATGACTTTACAATGACTCCACCGAGGGTGGAAGTGGTATTGTCCCCCCGTTGATGGTATATATATCGAGTGGAGCGTCAGACATGAGATAATTTAAATCAAATTTGTTTACAATGAGAGCAGATAAATTCAAGAGGGATTGAATCCACCAGTATAACGTTACGTATGTCCTGAACTACTCGGTTGAAATGCCGAGGGTGAAACAGGTGGAATGGATACAAGATAGACGTTATATCTCCCTCTCGAATCTGAAGGCCATGCCAATTATGCGCAGGAAAACCCTACTTGGGAAAGAGGCCTTGTATCCCTTCAACATGTTCCCTGAGAGCGGGAGCCCTCACCATTCAAACGAGCCCGCGTTCTTGGCTACAGACTGCCGGACTTGTCTTCATCAACATTATCCCAGTGTGAAGGTAATCTTCGCGGTTGGGAAAGTGTACCTGTTCGCCAACACTACGATGGAAACATTGGCCTTGCACAAGAGGCTTCAACAAACGTGGGAGTTGGCTGTGGGGGGGGGGGGGGTTACACGAAACTCCTGCCATTTCGCCTTGAAGGGATCTTCGCTGGAACATCAATAACTTTTGCTCCGGGTTCGAAATGGCGCACGGCTTTCCAGACCCTCGCTTTGACCTGGGAGCACAGACGGAGGATGCTGATGTTCCTCCGCTGCTTTCAATTCTCCTGTCCGGGCGATTTGATTCGGAAAGCCATTGGTTGCTGGCAAGACCTACGCTTTCGAGTCCTAGACTTCTTCCAATGCTAGATACAGTGCTGTCCCAGCTATAGTCAAACCACCTTTGTATGAAATCCTTTACATCAAGTGATGTACGCGACGAATTCTTGAGCAACTGCTCAAGGAGGGGAACAGGTGTGAGGTATCGATATTACAGGGCATTGGTCCACGTGTTCCTAACAAAAGCGTCGATGCCACAGCAATAAACGCGAGACTTAGTACGACATCTTTGTTTGCCCCATGTGCACCATTGATGAGGGCTTTGCTAAGCATGAGCAGAACGACTTTTGCAGTGAGCCTTGCCGTGACACACCTCGGGCCGGGTCCGGGAAACGAAAAGGGTGGAGCGCGCTCGCCGACTTGGGGGATCGTTTAAATAACCTCACCAAAGACACCAACTCATCGAACTTGGGAACTAATTGCCAATAAACAAATCTCCGTATGTCAGTCTCTTGGGATCGGTTCTCTTCATCGTTACCAACCTACGAAAGTCTTCCGGGTTCAGACTGCTCCAAATGTCTTCAACTCGGACCGAAGCCGTACAGCTGATCCGTCAATGCTTTGCAGAAGAAGAGAAAAACCCGCCAGTTCCTCGAACGACGGACGATGTTCCGATCTCTTACCAAGCGATGACCCCAGAATGGATATCCGCTGTTTTGGGGCCGTATTACGAAGGCGCGAGAGTGAAGAACTTCTCACTAGGACCCAAGGACAATGGCACATCGAATCGTCGACGAGTCTATCTCGAATGGGAGGGCACCTCCACCAAGACTCCTCCAAAGTCTGTGTTTTGTAAAGCGGCTCATGCTCTTAACAACCGACTCACGTTGTTCAACGGCGGGACAAAGAGCGAAGTCCAGTTTTACAAGGACATTCGACCTCTCCTTGATATAGAAGCGCCGCGTTCTTATTTCACTGCTTACGATCCGAAATCCTGGGCCTCCATTATCATGCTCCGCGATATGGATCCGCGTACACAATTTTGCTCGCACAGGACAGTTTTGTCAAAGGATCAGTTTGCACAACAGTTCCAGCTTTTGGGCAAGCTTCATGGCACTTTCTACCAATCTACCAAGGAGGTTTTCAACCAGATCACTACCATCAAGGAGAGGTTTAACAACCTTCTTGCAACCGTGGATTTCGAATCGGCAGCTCGCAATGGGTTCAGCGCCGCAAAGGAGGTCATACCACCTGACGTGTTTGCCCGTGAAGACGAAGTCTGGGCTCTAACTCTCAATGCGTTGGAACGTTGCGCCTCTCTACCACCGACACTGATCCATGGGGATGTACATCTAGGTGAGATCCGCGTACTGCTTCTGCCAGCCCAGATCATAAGGCTTACTCCGGACTCTAGGCAATTGGTACATTACTCCTGAAGGAAATATGGGTCTAACTGACTGGGCCGTCCTCTCGCGTGGACACTGGTCCCGCGATGTTGCTTACGTGTTGGGAACTGGCGTTTCGCCGGAGAAACGGCGAGAATGGGAGCATGAAATGGTGCAATTTTACATTGAGGAACTGGCAAAGGCGGGCGGACCCTCTGTATCGGCCGCAGAAGCCTGGCCAGAGCTTCGGAGGGCCTCGTTTCTGGCTCTGTCATATTGGACAATCACACTGACCCCGTCCTCTAGCATGCCTGATATGCAGCCCCAAGACACCACGCTCGAGTTCATCCGCCGTCTGACAGCGTTCATGGGCGATCATCAAGTCTTCGAGTCTTTCGCGTATATATAGCTCCGCCGCGGAGAGGCATATGTCGATTGGGTTGCTGACGATCGCAAACAGCCAGACTTGAAGATAAATCGACTTTGCACGTCTAAGACCAGCTGTATCATCTGTTGACAAGCTACATCCGTAAACGATGGTAGATTTGCTGACTGGGTGAGTCGAACCGTGGTACACAACGGGTTTCTCGGGTTTAGATATTTCATAGTTGCATGCTCTCAAGAGGTGCGCAAAACCCTTCAGAAACGTTGATACTCTGCAGGATTTGTTTGAGGCCGGACTCCGAATAGGCGCCCAGGGAACTAAGTGACCCTTGTGCCATGCCAATAACCTCGTTGCGTGGTTGTTCCTGGAAGAGGCAAAGACGGAGCCCCGGCATATCGTGAGGTATCGTCAACTCCAGCTCCACGAACACGTTTCGCATAATACAAAGTGTAAGTACGGGCTCTTTTGCTCGCGGCCTACCGGGGTTCGATGTCCCTCCAAAGACCCTCCTTGAGGGGGGCTTGGGGGTGGGATTGAAGGTATGCGGTTCTGGAGGTGGGGGACTTGCTTGCCTGATATTTCTCCTACAACAGTTACTGGTCGAACCACTGTTGTCAGCAGCCAACATGGATTGCCTGAACCCCTCTCTTGCTGACGCTACTGTTTGATGCACAGTACCACTGGAAGCTTACGGCAATGGATAAAATGCACCTTCAACGTGGATACCTCCAAAGTCTGGACCCCTCGCTCGATCAGGACTAGAATACATACACGGTAGAAGTGCTCACCGGCTTCAACGAATATCTGGAACCCAACCGAGATTCTGGAAGGCCACTTCGTACAGTGAATGGAGCAGTCGGCGCTGCACTCTCTTAATCTCGGAGAAGCCTTAGCCCGAGCATGCTACCCCGCGAAGGCTGGGGCATGCGTCTAGACAGTACACCCGAGCAATTATCAAACCATCTGCAGACAGTTGACTTGCAATCTCGTGGAGACTGGATCACGTCTCCTGCGGCGCCATGTGACACTTCTTCCCCGAGCTCCATTTCGTGGGGCTTGACTCGAGGCTGTTAGCTTCGTCTTTCTCCCTCGGGCTTCCTGACTTTTCAGTTGTTATTCAACGGATAGAAATGAATGCACGTTACAGAATTGTTCTCCAACCCCGAGGATGGCTCCAGACACTGGGCCCCTTTCGTTTGCCTCGCCCGACCACTGGAGCGGGACGGATAGTTAAGCACGGCTGAAGACCCTCGTTATCATGAGGCTTTATGTACTCCGTACTGTGTGGTAATCTACTGGTAGCCGAGGTCATGTAACTGGCGGCCCGAGGCAAACGGCATGCGCATGGACTAGTTCGTAGTGAAAGCACGGAAGTCGAACTCTCCGGGGCGGTCGTGCAAGCGACCCCATGAACCGGTCCACAGAACAGAGGAGCTGATCATCTTAGCCTGCACCCCGTCTTTGCAGACTGAGACCTATATGGAGTATGGCGGCAATCATCATCTCGTGTAAAATTCTTCTTGCAGGTGGAGATGTAGAACAAGCTGCGAGTAAGTACTTGTACAAGGGGGGATCATGTACGGGCTGACACCCCCCCTGGTTCACTAGCGCGTCGCATTCCTACATTCCTGCATTCCTGCCTGCCTACCTACCTACCTACCTACCTACCTACCTATCTATTCGCCGATCTATCCGTCTATCTATCCACCTATTACGATGCCCGGCAAGCACAAGAATCGTAAATCGTACGCGGATCCAGAACGACCTCGAGGACAGCGCTTAACAGAGAGAGAACGCGTTCAAATTCTTATCTTATATAATATAGCGAAGTGGAATCTTTCACAAATTGCGCGAGAACTTCGAATTGCCCGTACGACTATTTAACTTTGTGTTCGCTCTAATATCTGTACGCCTTAAAGATCTATAGGACGTTCACTAATACTTATAACGAGAAAAAGACGACGTTTAATATAACGCGTAACTCTTAATGTTTATTATCGACGTCTTTTATATAAGGAAATCGCTCAACTCGAAGATATTTAAGTCTATCGACGCTCTTTATTAAAGATATTTAAAAAAGAACGATATTTTCGTCGTATTGTAACAGAGCACTTCAGGGTTTGGCGTGCACGTGCAACAACGCACAGAGGCCTGTCCAGCAGATCGGGAATCGAGAACGCGTTTCTGGTTGATACTGACAAGACAACACCACCAACACCACCCAGAGGGGCAGCGGCTAGGGCTACAAACACCTAGCACAGCGGGAGCATCGACGGACAGGACAGGACTGATAAAAAACACTCAGGAATTAGGTAGACGGCGCCAAAAACCATGGAATTCATGATGCTCTGCTCAATCTCTAATGAATGGCTCACTGCCAGCACTGTAAACTGTTCTGCACCCCCTTCTGCCAGCCCATTTAGGTTTAACATGTGACTAGACAACTTTTCCTCCCTGCCACCGCTCTACCAGCCCAGCACGGCCCATCACAGCACAGCCACCTTGCCTTGTTACAGTATAGCGTAAGAAAAGTCTCTTCTTAAACCCGAGTATATGGCAGTACGTTTACAATGGGCAAAAAATTATAAAAACTAGGATATTGAGATGTGAAAACGCGTTACATAGATAGATGCGGCTTCATTTACAATAGGAGGCTTTAGAAACGTTTATATTACGCGTATAGTTGAAGAGAAATATAATCTAAGCTATTTAGTTTTAAAATTTTCTAGATTTTCAGTAGTAATGGTATATACGTCGATATCTACGATTTCAAAAGGTTCTCTTATATGTTAGACACAGCCTTGGAAGAGACCGGTCGCGGGCTGCGAAGGCGCGGCTCAGGACATTCATTGGACAGATGGAAGGATCCACAAGGGAACAAGGCTGAACCACGTGATATGCCCTGTTGGCTCTGTCGGCCCTGTGGGCTCTGCCAGCAGAGCGCACAGAGCGCACAGAGCGCGCAGAGCACGAGCATTAT